TATTAAGAATGAAATCAGTGCGATAAACGTGCTTCAGCGGTCTTGTCTTCGCAAAACACTCGACAATAAATTAACTGATATGATTAAAAATGCGGAATTACTCATGGATGCTAGAAAATGCACGTTGTATACTGTCATCCTTCGTGTTGTTGTTGTCTTGATTGATCTGTCATCGTCATTTGAGGTTAATAGAGCTTAAACAGCAGAGGTACAAACGTTTATGATGTCTTACCGTCACAAGTGCAGATTGATATGAGACAGAGTTCACTGCTTTGGCAGAGGTCATATTCCGCAAGCAGGTAACCATCGAGGTTTTTCAAGATTTTATGTTGACCTCCTATGGGTCTGCATCCTGTGCAAAGTTCCTAAGAAGATGACGTTTTGAATACATTTTCATTCTTTTTCTGAGCCGTTTTATCGAACCAATACAGGCGCTGGTCTTAGGGTTCACCTGGCAGTTTTCTCAGACCAGTGGTCGTTAACACCTGATCGTTCGTAGCCCGATGGGACCATCACACTTTGAGGATGCTGCGCAGACTGCACTGTTGGAAGTTATCTGAACGAGCTCCATGACGCTTCAAGACGGCAGGTGTTTTGAAACTGTACATGAGCACTGCGAATACGGTTGCTTTCATAATGATCATTTTCGGATCTGTTTATCGCATCGACTCCTATTATAAGGATCGGCCTCCAATGTTATCAGACATTGCAGGGTAGTTAGCAATGGCTAATGGCGATAATAAGCGCTGGATGTCTTAACACTTTGCGAGAACCCGTGCATCAAGTCAATTATGAGGGGCCCTCCAAATATCCTCATCTAGGACCAACGGGTATGAAATTTTTCTTTCGAAAGGGTTAGCGCATTTCCTAACTGACCCATTGGCAAAAGCGTCCCATTATTTTTTGTTACTGGCTACGGTTGTTTTCTTACTTTTGTTCCTTACGAGGAAAGTTTTGTTTTGCCGAAGCTTTGCTCTCTTGTATATTTTGGTTTTCGTTCATGCTATTGCTTCAAAGCCTATCATATCCGTATCATTCAGTTCACCCTTGAACGTTTCGTATTCAGATTTTGAGCTTAAATTGAAACTTGCTGTCGCAGTGTCAGATCGATACTGAAAGACATCAATGCTGCCGTGAAACGATTTTCCACTCACTGTTTTTCAGGAGCTTAACTTGCCGTACCTGGCACTCAACGCCTCAGATACTCGAAATAAAAAGTATCTACAGTCGATACTGTCCGGATCTATTAACTGTCACACAATGATTGAGTACTTTTCGCAAAACCAAAACCGCGGTCCAGTCCCCGGTGCGCTTAAACCGTCGTTTCACGTGCTGATCATGGACGAAGTGGACGGTATGAGCGGCAACGAGGACCGAGCCGGACTGCAGGAATTGATCGCGATGATTAAACGCACAAGCATTCCGATCATCTGCATCTGCAACGATCGTCAAAACAGAAAGATCCAGTCGTTAGCGAATCACTGCTTTGATCTTCGCTTTCACAAGCCCCAAGTTCAGCAGATTAGGGTATAAGACGGCCAACTGTCATGCTTTTGAAATAACGAACGCCACTGTTGTTTTTCAGGGTGCGATGATGTCTATTGCTTATAAGGAACACCTGCGGATCTCCTCGGCTTCCATGGATCTAATCATCGAAACCTGCAGACACGACATACGTCAAGTGTTGTATGTGCTGAGTGTGATTGCCGCAAGCCAAAATGAAATCAACTTCCACGATGCGAGGATGACCGCGCTGCAGGCTCAGAAAGACGTTGCGATGGTAAGTTTAATCGAAAACTTACTCGGTTCGGCTCTTGTCATGTGTTGTAGTAGCCAACAGCTTGCGTGAAATAATTTGTCTTGATGGTTTTCAGATGCATTTTCGTAATGCTGATGCGTGCGCAAATTTTTAGAGCGTTTTCGATGTCACGCGTCTCCTTTTCTCGGACAATGAAGAGACCCGAAACAAAACAATACTTGATAAGGCGGAATGGTTTTTCACCGACTACAGCCTTGTGCCACTGTTCGTTCAGGAGAACTACATCAACGTTTCGTCAAGCAAGGCACAGTGAGTTTCTCGATGCTGCTAATAATGTTTGGTATAAACGTAAAATAATTTCGTCGCGAAACGGGGGTGGGTGAGGGGGCGCCCCAAAACTTATCGTAACATTAACTTGCATAAAACTCGAAACTCTTCAAGAAAAGTTAAAACCCGATGACTTGCTGCAATACTGTCCTCGACCATACATCTAAGTCTGGAATCATTAAGCTTGTCGCATTATGTTGCTTTCCAATGATTATGACGGTTTTAGATGAGAAGTGAACTAACGTCGCATTCAATCGTAATTTCAAGAATGAATCATTCTCACATTATTAGAGTTGCCTCAGATTATAGACTCAGCATTTCAGTTCCTCAAGAGCCGCCATATGAATTTACCTCTTGCAACTGTTAGCCTCCCGCGTGTTGTAGAAGTGATGATCCACAACTTTGGAATAGTCTCAAACACCTCGCTAAATATCAAAATGATGAAGGCCTGCAGTGCTGATCGAATTCCTTCAGAGATTATCAAAGTTAGAAGCTCCATG